TGTTTGCAAGTATGTGTCTGTGTGTGTGTGTGTGTGTGTGTGTGTGTGTGTGTGAGTGTGTGTGTGTGTGAGTGTGTGTAAGTGTGTGTAAGTGTGTGTGAGTGTGTAAATTTGTGAATACGTTTGTGCGTTTACAAGAATGTACGTATTATGTTTGGGTTTGAGCTACTTCGTGTTTGCAAGTGGGGCTTGTGAGCAGCAGGGGAGTGAGGAGGATGAGAAAGAGGGGAAGGAGAAGAAAAAATGAGGAGGGGGATCAGAGGGAGGCATTGGAGGAACAAGAGGAGCAGGAGTGGGAAGCCAAGGGGGATAACTGTAACAGATGTCTTCATCTTACCGGTGACCATGATGGTCCGAATGTCTGCCTCTCTAAGATCACATATGACAGGAGCAGTCTCGGGTTTGAGCCGGTTTTCCATTACGAGCAAGCCCAGGAAGATAAGGTCGTTCTCCAGATAATCCCTGTGATCACATAAAGGGGTTTGTGGGTTGGGTAATTAGATAAGGCACTTCTTTGAATGAAGAGGAAGACCAAGAAAGACCTGGCTGGATGGGGTTAAAAAGGTCCTGGAACAACATATCTGTCATCACAGACGCTACACACCTAGCACAGGACCGAAACGTGCACCTCCCTTCGACATCCTAAGGATACCAGAGTAAGGGAAAAAAAGTAAAGTAAGTAACTTTTTTTAACAATACAATGCCAAATGTGCAGCAGGTTCAACAATAAAATTGTGGGCGTGTGTTTTTCTTACCAGCAGATTCTGATGTCATGTCGTCGGCCCGCAGTTCAGGTGCAGTGTACTTAACCTAACATTTTGACTTTTTCTTAATTGCAGTTTTGTTTGTTTCTTCTGTTTTTTCATATGTGGTATCACTTTCATGTACTCGGGTAATTTTTGTCGAAATTCAAATTCTAAATGCTGAAAAATAAGTAAGAAAAGATCCGGAATGAAACGGTTTTCTCTCTCTCTCTCTCTCTCTCTCTCTCTCTCTCTCTCTCTCTCTCTCTCTCTCTCTCTCTCTCTCACACTCGCGCTATCTATGTCGTTCTATCTCTCTCTCTCGATCTCTCTCTCTCTCTCTCTCTCTCTCTCTCACAC